ATTTTTAAAACTTCGACGTTTTTCTACTTTTTTATCCCCAACTTTGTAAATTTCTGAGCAATTTTTGTCTTTATGACCCTTTTTCAAATGCGAAAATTCCCGTCCCGGGCCTCGTCAACGTTGAATAAATCACTTACAGCTCATGACCCGATGAGTTGTAACTCGCTAACGCAGAGAGCGGCAACAACCCAGTAGCGCAACTCAACACAGTGTCACCCAGGCCCAGCCCAGAACAGGCGAATCAATGCTGTTAGCGCATGCAATTTTGCGAAGTGCATTCGATGTGCAGTGAGCATCAATTTCCGATGTGGAGCAGAGCAGTCGACCCCCTCAGAGTGCGGCGGAGCCACACCTCATGTATTTTTCAGTTGCATCTCCATCCAGATGAGCCTCCTAGGCGGGGTCATGCGCGTTCCCGGCAACCCTCCAGCCTGGCCAGCGCCGAAAATCGAATCAAAATCGGGCGTCCCAACAGCGTACACCCCAACGTTCAAAAAATCGTTCATTTTCTTTTGATGATTTTCCTTTAAAGTTTCGTTCATCACATCGGCTTGTTGGTGCGAACAACCGCTAGCGTGTCGCGTGTGCCGTTAACGACTCTTGTGACTAACAATTTGCCAGTTGCACACTTTGATCGCTTCATCCAGCTCGAACTTGCTATTAAAATGGGAGCGAAAAGCAGTGTGGAAGCGGCGAAAATCAACGCTCAGAACTGGACCTTGCTGGAGGTAGGTTCAGGCCCAATTTGGGCCGAAGTCCCAAGCATTCCTCCGCATCGGCCGCTGGCTGGTTATTGATTTAGGGCGTAGAGCTGTTCCGCTTGTCTTTGTCGGCCATGCTGCTGCAATTTGACGGCATCAGCGCTGTTTTTTACGATCTGATACGCGATGAGCTAGCTAAGGCGTTGTTGTTTCCGCAGTATAAACATCCGAAACAATTCTCGACTCGTCACCAAGTCCATTCCATCAACAAAACCATCGGCAATCCATGGGCCAACAAGATCTGCACGGAGCTGGGAAGAGGCACTATATGGTGACAGCAACGGTGCCAGTGCCCAGCTGGGACTCTGCAGGGGATGGGCAATAAGCTCAGTTGCTCATGTGCACCCCTCATCAAAAAGGTACCTGGACCTTATTGAACACGCCTTGTATGATTAAAAAAATGCGCCCAATTGATCTCTGATTTGGTATTGATTTTCTTATTAATCGTCGCTTAAGGAGTCGCCCCAATTGGGGGTGATGAAGAGCCTCAAAATGTAGTTGATTTCTAGACTTTCAGGGAATTTTACCGATATAAAATAAAACCGTATTGGTATTAAAGCGAGTTTTACATGAGAACGGTGTCCAAACCAGGAAATTCACAGCGTAGGTGAAGATAACCGTTCTAATCTAATGGAGGCACACTCGAGCGGCTGCATGGAGGTTTGGGTCAAAGCTATGGTGGGCATTTTAACAAAAATGCAACATTTTGCGCTGTAARAAAATKATCTGAGCATTTAGGTTTTTTTGCGCAAAATTGACAATGCTGCATCCTGAGCCAGCCACACCCTACGGAAGATTAGAAAAGTTCAAGTTTGGGYTAGTTTTGCATATATTTTAGTGCCCCTGCAAAAAATCAAGCGCCGACTTGCAGRATTCTTGAACCCAGRAATTTTTTRAAAATTTAGCTTTTTTGCCTTCAAATTTGGGAATTTCTGGACAGTCTGTGTCTTGTTTTCACTTTAGTTTTTCCGTAATAATAAAAGGTCAAATTCTTTATGCGCAGTAAAAAAAGGCGATGCACTTTGCAAAATTGTTAATGCCCGGAATTTTTTTATAACCGCGCGTCTAGTTTGGGAATTTCTGGACATTTCGTGTCCTGTCCGATTTCACTCAACATTTTCCCGTGAAGCTTCGGAAACAAGAATAACGTCCTGCTGGATTGAATCTGGGAACTTCGACGTTTTTCTACTTTTTTACCACAAATTTTAAAAATTTTTGAGCAATTTTGGTTTCTTCCAATTTTTCTGCAATTTTGCCCAGATTCGTCCCACGACTCTATGTATCCACAGAAATAAATTCAAATGACAGCTTGCAGGATTGCTCAAGTTAGGAATTATTGAAGACTTTCGCGCCTCTACTGATTTTCATCTTCAAGTTTGGGAATTTCTGGACATTTCGTGTCCTGTCCGATTGCACTCAAAGTTTTCCCCTGCAGATTSTGAAGGCTTCTGTACTCAAAGGAAAACAAAGCAAAGTYCTGTTTGTCCGATTGYTGACTTTGGGAATTTTTCAAACTTCGAGGTTTTTCTACTTTTTAATCACCAACTTTGAAAATTTYTGAGTGATTTTTGTCTTTTCCGATTTTTCTGCAGTTTTSYTCAGAGTCATCCCAAGGCTTTGTGTATCCACAGAAACAAACTCAGATRACAATTTGCAGGATTGCTCAAGTTAGGAATTATTGAAGACTTTCTCGTTTTCACTGCTTTCCAYCTTTAAGTTTRAGAATTTCTGGACAGTCTGTGTMCTGTCAGATTTTTCCCCGATATTTTCTCTCTAGATTTCAAAGTTTTCTGCATTCGAAGCAAAAAGTGCACGCTCCTGCTTGAAGCATTATGGTGGCCAGAAAATTTTTAAAACGCCAGCGTTTTTCCACTTTTTTAGCACAAACTTTGAAAAATTCTGGACAGTTTGTTTCTGATCCAATTTTACCGCAATTTGGCCTGTTTATATCCGAAACCCTTGTGAATCCACAGCAAAAACAAGAGACAGTGCAAATACGGAAACAAACGCTAAGACTGGTTAAGGACTTAAAAACGTCTTCGTCTATTCTAGGCATACAGGTACGACGAGTCCCCATGGCAAACATCTAGGCGCCGGGACGGACATCTCCTGCGGTAAGCACACGTTCCAAACCGAGTTAATTCATGCAAAAACCCCCTAGTCTTCCTAGGCTGTGGGCGGAGGTCTTCTATGCAACAGCCGCCTCCGAAGCCAAGGGCCAGTTCTTCTGGCAGCAGCTCAGCGACGATTTGGTGCCAGTCAACATCACCTGCATCCAGGATTCACCCGAGTATGTGTTTCACATCACGGCCTACAATTCCCAAGTGGACCGGATCGTGGATGTGCGGATGGTGCAGCCTGGCACTCGAATCGGCACCGCTAACGAATGCTTCATCTACTGGAGGGACCCGATCACCAACGACACCTGGGGCTTGAACTTCACCTCCTCGATCGATTGCAAACAGTTCCGCGAATGTGTGGTAGGTGGCCTGTTATTGCTGACCGAGCAGCAGCTTGGAACACCATCGATTTTCAGTTCCCTGCCTTCAAGTTCTCCCGCAAAGCCTCGTCTTCCTATTCTCTGAAACTCGATCCTCCAACCAAGCACAAGTTAAAGGCGAAGCGAAAACCGCTGAGCACCCCTGCCTCGCCTTCTCGGGGTCCCAGGGAACCCCAATGCACCTGCATGACTGCGGAGCAAATGGCGAAGCTTCGCGCCCAAGACCCTCGCTATAGAGGTAGGAGCTAATGAAGAAAGCATTGGGCCCCAAAGGTTTAACATCATCTGCGTGCAGGTTCATCTACTCTTCCCAGAGCTGCCAAAATATCTGATACTGAGGGGAAAATCGCAACAGCCGCCTCATCTACTAGCCTCTACGACAACCTGGGAGCCACTCAAACCTCCTCTTTACCAGGTAAGGCCTGGAATGGAAAGGGGTTTGCCCACAAAAACAAAAATGTCGCAGGCACAAAATCTGGCCACCGAAACGGCAGCCAGACGAAACAATCCCGAAATGTTCAGTCTCAATCGGACAGCAGTGGCGCAGCCCCAGCTAGCGCGGGCGCACCCCAAGCCCCCAAGACCGTCACTGCCTCAGTGGGCACGGAAAATGACACAGAAACTCAGGTGAAACTCCAGGGAAACCACTTGGAAACTGGCTGACATCCGGCATGTTTCAGGGCAACCAGACGGAGTCGCAGTCCCAAACTAGCGACCAACAGCAATCCGAGAGCGTCCAAGTGGGGGAGCCTCTGGCTAAGGCCACGTCCTCCGGAAAGCCTTCGCTGAAAGAAAAAGGCCATCACATGCTGAGCAGCGCCAAATCTGTAGACTATTCCGACATGGAGATGAACCGCAATCGCGAGTTCAGAGGCGGACATGGACACAACAGCGTCAGCAACAACATCCAGTCCCGCAAGAACAAGTCCAAGAGCTCAGAGGACATGAACAGGCAAGTTGCTGTGGGGGAGACTTGAGGAGGTTGCTGACGGGAATTTGCAGGGAGAACGGCATTAGTCTGGACAGTAACACCTTGAAGCGCATGCTGAAGCCGATGCCCAGCCAGGAGAGCCCAGTCACTTCTCCGGAGATGAGCAGGAAGCGCTACCACTACCACAATCATCCAGGCAGGCATGTGAACAACTCGCGTCATTCAGACCCGGAGGCCCGCGGGTCTTCCATCAACTCCCGATTTTCTGGATCACGGTAAGAGACCCTAAGCAACTGATGCACACTCGAAAGTATTTTGGGGTTTACTTGGAGTAGGAAATGTAATGATTTGTGTGTGTATACCTTAAATATTTGCAAATTTTCGCCTGGAGCTAGTGTTGGCTTGGATTTTTCACAGTCTGGAGAAAATAGTTCAGCCTCAAACCTTCGCACATTTTATTGGATTACTGAATTCTCATTTTTTATTTATTGGTCAATTCTGGGCCAATAATGGCGGTTTTGAGGCAACTGCACTGTTATATTTAAAAATTCGTAGCTTTCCATCTGAAGTAAAAATCGACTTGGAAATTTTAGAGTGTAGCGCAAATAGTTGAGCCTAAGAACTGGGAAAATTTCATTTCAACCACACAGAAGACTGATTTTTGACAGATTTGTAAAGTTAGGTCCAAAAATGGGCGTTTTACGGCACTGCATAGTCTTCTTTAAAAATTTGTCAGTTTCCAGCTGAAGCAAATATCGACGTGAAATTTTCCCAATCTGAAGAAAATAGTTAAACGTAAAAACTCGGAAAATTGCATTCCAACCGTACCGAATTCCGGATTTTAATGAATTTGTAAATTTGGACTAATAAAAACGGGTTTTACGCAACCGCACTGTTTTATTTAAAAATTCGTAACTTTCCATCCAGAGCAAGCATCGACTTGGAATTTTCACAGTCCAGAGGCAATTAGTGAGTCTAATAGCTGGGAATGTTGCCTTCCTTAAGCACTGAATTCTGAGTTTTGACAATTTTGTGAACTCACGACCAAAAAAGTGCGCTGTTACAGCATTGCAGCGCTTTCTTTAAAAATTCGTAAGTTTCCAGCTGGAGCCGGTATGGACGTGAAATTTTCACAGTCTGAAGAAAATACTTAAACGTAAAAACTCGGAAATAAGCACTGAATTCTGAGTTTTAACAATTTTGTGAACTCACGACCAAAAAAGTGCGCTTTTACAGCATTGCAGCGCTTTCTTTAAAAAATCGTAAGTTTCAAGCTGGAGCCGGTATGGACGTGAAATTTTCACATTCTGAAGAAACCGATTGAGTCTAAATAGTCGAAAAGTTTCATTCCCTCAGGACCAAAATCTGATTTTCGGTCAATTTGTAAATTCAGCGCCAGCAGTGGCCATTTTTGGACAACTGCACTGTCTTATTTAAAAATTCGTAACTTTCCTTTTGGACTGGCCACCCACTTGCAATTTTTACAGATTGGCGCCAATAGTTCAATCTATAAACCTACCAAATTTCGTTCAAATCGCACTGCAGCCTGATTTTTAACAAATTTGAAAGTCAAGACCAAAATTTCTCGCTTCTTCTTTAAGCACATTTGTGCGCAATTTTCCCTCGAGGGCCAGAAGCGACTGGAAATCGCAAGCATTGCACTGGAAAATTACCGTGCAAGTTTAGCAAGGAAATCACAGTAACGAATCGACCGACTTAGATCAGAGAGGCGACTAGTAGCAAACCCTCCAAAGTAACAGCACCCATCTTCAGGTCGTCGCACGAAATCGGCCGCGGATATCCAGGCCGAGGTCTCTACCTGGAGCTAGAAAGGGGCGCGGCCGGCGACTTTTCGCCTCCATCAGACAACGTGATCTTCGACAACCAGTGCTACGCGACCACGCCCAGTTCCAGCAACGGCAACTCAGACATGGAGCAGGCGGCGCAGCACTATGGAAGGCGCCGCCTCCACCGCCAGGTAGCAACACTTGCACAGCGCCCGGAAACTCGACAGCCAATTCAATGGAAAGTTGTTGCAGAACTCCAGCGTCAACTCCACTCCCGGCTCGCCCACCAGTCGCCTACTCCTGGAGTATGAGATGCATCTGCGCAACACCCTGGCCAAAGGCATGGACGCGGAGAGCTACAGCTTACACACCTTTGAGGCGCTGCTCACGCAAAGCATGGAAAATCTTGGTAGGGCTTGGTTGGTCTCCTCTTGGAGCAGTTTTGATGAGGCTACCGCGTTTTCAGAGTTCGCCGAGAGTCTCCCCGGGTCCAACACCCGAAGCCCATATCACGCGAGGAAAAGTAACTGGTAGGGTAAATATTGCAAGAATTGTTAACAAAGCGGGCGTTTTCCAGGACCCACATCCAGCGCTTCCATGAGATCCTCCACGCTTCCCTACAACCAGCGCATGGGCGTTCGCGAGCGCGAGAGAGACGGCTACTACAGCGACCGCAACGAATTGTCCCGCGAGCGAGAAAAGGAGCGCGAACGCGGCTACTTGAGCGACCACAACGCCAAGTGAGAGGCTCCTCAGCGCTCTGCCTGAACTGCGCAGCTGCACTTTTGGGTTTAGTTCTAGGTGCGCATCCTGCATCGGCGAGTCGAGCAGGGCGCAGTGGTTCCGACACTCAGACGGCTGGCGATCCGGCAGCTCCGCCTACGGCTCAGCGCAGGGCGGCGTCCTCCCAGGGCACAGGAGAGCCCCCTGGGACTCGCTTCCCTCACTGCG